CCAATGGTATTAGCACGTAAGTGAATGTGATAAATTCGACTGGAATTCGAACTCGGCTCTCAGTCCAAGCCGCAGTCCATTACTCTTCCGTTCTTTTGTAGAACTTTCTAATCTAAACTGGTTGTCATTAATTTCACCCTTTAAGAAAAAAAAAAACAAGAATAGCAATTCAAATATGTGTACACACTAAAATAACGATTATATTGACAATGTGTATAATAGGATTATAAAAAAAATATGTGTGTTTAATTGTGTCTGTAATACGAGGATATTCGGAAATTTTCCAGTTGTTAAAGAAAAAGTAACCGACCTAGAGCAATAGCTTCTTAGTTCTCTCCAATGTATTCCCTTAGAAATCACATATCCCAGCATCTCTTCTTCTTTTCAAAACAGTCGGCATTTTTTTTTTCGTCAATAGTAACTTTCTCGATAATATCGACACCTCCAGGATTTAACTACTGATACTTGCACACTGGCTCACAAGCTATAACGATAAAAAAGATACGCACTGCATTAGCATCAAATACTCTGTACTTTTAGATAACAACTTAGGAGTTCACACTTTCATATTTTCTTTTTTTTTTATGCTCAAAAATATCCTTTTAATATACGCTCAAAAGAAAGAAACGAAAAAGCTCTCTTCTTATATATTCATATATATGTATCCTGAGTTTGTTTATAAAGGACACATATGGGAACTGTGTGCTTCCATGTACCAATTTGTTGCAAAATGTGTTTTTTCATACATTTGATATTATACGTTATATCTGTACGAGTTTTTGCAGGTTGAATGGTTCACGTATTGTGTATAATATGTACGATGAAGATGAGGTGGACACACATTGTTTTATGCGTTAATAATGAATTCCGTTTATACTTCATTTCTATATGCCGTCGGAAAATACATTGCATATATTTGTACAACCTCTTAGACGTCTAGTTGCGTATCTGCGCTCGTATGCGATTCATATCAGAAATCACGCCGTATGATCAAACAAGCTGGTAAATAATCAATTCGATTTCTAATGCTGAATTCAGTCAGCAGAGAGAATGTTTTCGCTTCAATACAGTCGTAATTATCTCCCATGAGTAACACCGCTCAAGTAAACATATCATTAAAGACAATAAGACATATTTTTTTACAAAAATAATGCAACCGTCGAATCCGTATGCGCAGACAACAATCTGACTCAATAATTATTAATATGATTAAATTATATGTTATTTGTTTTTAGTTTGATGTTCATTCCTCAGAAATCTTAATTCCAAGAAAGATTATACGGCCAAACGAATCAAACCTATTTTCTTTTGTTTGCAATTGATATACAAGGATATTTGAGGATATGTTGACAACCGTAAGAAAAACATCTACATCTTACAAAGAACTAAATTTATTGATACAAAACTTGGTGAACATATGCAGTAATAGTTAAATTAAATGCATGTTCGACGTAACAGTCTTCAGGCGCAATGACGACGAAAATGCGGACCAGAATTGTTGACATGCACGCTTGGCATTGTTTGCAATGATATTGGACATTGCTTGCGTTATAGCGGCTTTCAGTGAATTAGTCGTCTGTTCACCAACGCCCCACATATAGTAGTCAACGGGATTAAGGTCTGACGGGTTAGGTGACTAAATATTTATTGGAATGTGGTCGTGCAGATTAGTCGCTCTCCAATTTTGGATCGCCACAGCTCTGTGAGATGGTTCAGAGTTCTGCTGAAACACATACGATCTTCCATCGCATACAAGGTCTGACCAGGGCTCCACCTCAGTGTAGCCAGTAGCATTCAACCGAAAAAGCTGTTTAAAGAAGTGGGGTTGCATGATGTATCCTTCAATATTGCCCCCTTAAAACCACCACAGAAACGGTGACTATCTGTATCATGCTTAAACGCAATCTTCAGGTCATGAAGATTGCCTTTAAGCATGAAACAGACAGTCTGAATTCGAAGTTGACCTCGGTGACCCCTCATATATATATATATATATATATATATATATATATATATATATATATATATAAATTGTTGTAGTTTAGAAAAAGTTACTGCATGAGCAGTAACCAAAACGGAAGTTGGAAATGAAATGGTAATATTTATAACATCAACAAAATACAATACTCGCCAGCGGCGTGAAGTAGGTAAACCACTGCAAGTGGTGGACTATTTAGACATCATATTAACCCGACTTACAATAGCGCCCATCATATTTATGAAGATTGGGACATACCCATTAGTGTTCATAGGTACGGTATATAACTGCTCGAGTAATATAATCTTCTTACACAAACCCTTACTCGAGCAGCTTGTGTGCAGGTCAGTAGTTGTATCACTGATGTACATATTTCTCCATAACTGTCACCGAATAAGGAATCGACTTTTCTTTTTCGTAATTTCGACAACTAAATGAACTCCTTCTTTAAAGCATCTCTGTAGTTCGCAAACTAAAACCTATAAACAAAAAGCGAATTCAAAAGCTTCAACAGTCGGATAAACTGGAGGTGGTGGCCTGATAATGTCACCGTAGTGAAATCAACAAAAACAATTCCATGTAATTCCCAGGAAAAAAATCATGGCTTTGACAAATCAAAACGACGTGAATGGCGAGGTCAGTTTCCTTAGATACGAAAGGTGTTATCTGACCGTCATCTAGTCGTTATTTGCATCTTGGGTAAAATTGTAATCAGAACACAGAATGTTAAAATACTTATACTAACGATAGAAAACGTTAAACCAAAAACGGAAGAGCTAAACATGGACATCATGGACGACTATGAAATCAAATGAACAAATAATGGGACTTTACAAGCCACCGATATGGAATCATTTATGTTGTCGAAAGAAAATTTAAAGAGAAATATGATTAATAATGGACAAAAACAAGACAAAATATCTTCTGTGATACTAGCAACTGTCATGTTCTAGGAAACTGAAATGTATTTATTGATTGATCGATTGATTTTTACGACATTTAATGATTTTTCTCATCTACTATTTACCTCATAGCTGGAAAAAGGACAAGAACAGTATGGTCTTATTCAAGGACATACACTGGAGAAACGAAATGGTCATAATGCCATCAAATACAAATACAAATACGAAATGAAATTTCAGAAAGGCTTATTTTTATGTTTTATAGATTAGGCAAAAGCATTTGATTAAAGGTTCGGCACAAGACCTCCCGGTATTTATTATCTGCTGACGTAATCTTAACAACATAAATGTGCAGATAAGACTGTTGATCGTAGATTCAGAAGGAAAAGCGAAATGACTCTTAGATAACGTAGTAAAAGAAAACGAGAAGAAAAGAATAACTATTAACTGTAAGAAGTGTAAATGTATGATTATGAACAAAAGAGAAGACACCAAGGCGTGAGCTACGAAGTGGGAACCTTAGAATCAAGCAAATACCAAGTAAATCTCTGAGTAGTATAGTAAGAGATAACAGAAAACAGAAATCCGAAGTTACAAGGCCATAAAAAATGCCTTCCAGAAACTAATACATCTTTATTATCTAAAACTAATATTCTTCTTCTATGCACAGTGTCCCTTTAGGTGTATATGACCATGTCTCTCCATAACTTTCTTTTAGATTGTAAGAATTTGGGGGAGATAATAATGGTTTACTGATACAAGTCGTACTAATTAATCCATAGATGTGGGAAAATAGGCGAATTCTGCCTTTCGCAAATGTATTTGAGCGTATTTGAATATAACGAACACAACTGTACTTGTAACTCGGCTCTCCGATTAGCAATTCCAAACTGTTATCCATTACACCTACCGCACATCCATACTTACTGCACTTGGTATTCCTAAGCGGTCACCCATCTAGGTACTGACTAGGTTCGACGTTGCCTAACTTCACTGATGGTGTGTGACTCGGTGTTTCAACCTGATATTGCCGTAAGCCTGAACGACGGAATGTAGCGTGTCTATGTGTCATGAAAAAAGCAATAGAGTAGCAAGAGGCTACCTTGGGAAAGCAGCTGTAGCTTGGAAAATAGTCATCATTTTACAGCTTCGACAAAAATCATAGATAAGTTGTATGGGTCTTGGAACTCACAGTTCTAAATTCTTGTCTTTAGCTAGTTTTGAATACCAACCATGTGTGGTGTTGAAATATGCGCAAGTATTTCAGTCACGTGCCCAGTCGAACTGAATAGAGGGTGGAGATAATTTATTAATTGTTAGTCCAGTGTGTCACAATACCAAATAAGTCAGTAAAAATTATGGGATGCGCCAGTTTTCAACAGGACAAACATTCTCTAGCGTTTTATCCAGGCTCAAACGCCGTTGTGAAATACGTAACTAATTCAATAAAGGGGCATAACTGTAAGTAAAAATACTGGCTTAAAAAGATTTCACAAATATATTTACGATAACAAATCTTAAGTGATTTCTCAGCATAAAAATGTGTCAATTGATTAATTTTCGGTATAAATTGCAAATTTCTATATTTCTGTAGACTTCCCCAAAAATACTATGCCTGTGCCAAATGTTATATGACAATAGCTTTTACTCTATGCTCACGATATTCAAGTAAAAGCCTTTAGACTCTAAAAGACTAAGTCAATCAAATAGTTTACTAAGCGAAAATGTACTAGACTGTTTTACTTACAGTTTGGTACTGTCTCCTATCAGCACGTGTGTTCATCCATATGTATATATATATATATATATATATATATATATATATATATGTATATGTGTGTGTGTGTGTGTGTGTGTGTGTGTGTGTGTGTGTGTGTGTGTGGTGGGTGCGCGCGCTTTCATGTTGGCTCCGGCACATTTTATGTCGGTAAGTCCTGCTTCTGTCCCCCAAAGGTGATATTCGACTGTGTTGATTACCGCGAGGGATTGAACTCTGCAGACTTTATCAATCATTCATTGATACGACGCTTTTATCTACTGGCTTACATTCCCGCAGGACTTAAGTAATTTAGTAATTGGTGGATTTTGACGTACATTCGATTGACAAATAATTACAATGATTAATGCATTGTGATAGATAGATAGATAGATAGATAGATAGATAGATAGATAGATGAGGTCTGCATCAAATCAAATATATTTGGCCATCGTTTATTTTTTTCATGTCTATTAATACACCCACAAAAACTAACATCCTCTATTTTGTTAAAAAGCGTCTCTTTCCTTCCCTTTTTTATCGCCCCTTCTCTATTAGCAATTGTTTCATTCCTTCTAATTTTCCGTCTTTATCTTTCTATATTTTTTAGTAGTTCTTTTCCCTGGTTTTCCGTTTCTTTCTTTCTTTTCACTTTTCTATCCCGGTTTTTTCTATTTGACTTACCGTATTTGACGGCATATAAGGCGCACTTTTTTTAATACAATATCTTTTAAAATTCCCCTGCGTCTTATATGCCATACGTAGGTTTAAAATTCGCGATAGTCGGCCGAAATTAGCGATCTGGCATCTCATATTAGTTTAGCTATTAGAGCAACTTTCATATACCTATTGTCTTTATTTAAAAAGCTATTATGCAGATATTATCATTGATGATATTCATTATATTTCATCACGTTTAAAATTAGTACTCTGTTCCACCAAAATTATATGCAATAAATTCAAATTATATATTTGTAAAATATATTCGTTTCATTAATAGATTTCTTGTGATAACTTGCGGTGGCATTGGTATAAATACAATCAGAATTTGTATATCCTAATTATTCCAATAAGACATTTTGAAGACGCAAGTTGTACAGATCATATAAAGGATATGAGGTTTTTATAGGCTCGTGTTCTTTTTTCCTACTATTTTTCGTTTAATTGTAATCATCGCTTGTTTAACCAAAATAATGCCTCATAAATATATATATATATATATATATATATATATATATATATATATATATATATATATATATATATATATATAAACATTTTATTAGTGGTACAATACTTAATACCCGCCATAAATAGACAAATTTTATTTGCATTTTTAATACGTAGGCTCAGTGCTAGGATTAAACAACACGTGCTCACAAAAACCAGGAACTCTACTTATTCACTATCAGATGTTCATGTTGGTCCTCTATTGCGGAACACTTTATAAATAACCGCAGTTGTGCAGCTAATTTCAGTGTTGACTGATTTTCCATCCTGAGTAGGTACCATTCTAATTACCACCTCAAGATATTAAGAGACCATATAGATTTTATCAATGAAGCCTTCGCTCTGTCAACAGAAGGATTTTGTCCTTGGCCTCCAAACGATTTCCATATAATTTTTTTTCGCTCAGATTTCATTCCTTTTATTGATAACTAGCAGCATGACCCGGCGTTGCCCGTGCTTGATTCAAAAATCGTACAAGTCATACAGCAATCGCTATCACTTGACTTAAACTATTTTTGCCCTTCCTTGACTTTAAAAAAGTGCCCTTTGCCATGCTGATGTTGCTACATGCCTTACTTCTTGCCTATCTCACACTGCGACTTTTTTCTAAGCTCTATACTAAACATTAAATCTGTTATGAAAACAGAACTAAACAAAATGAACACAAAACGATTAGCTTTAAAAAAAAAAAGGACTCGTAACTGGAAAAACCGAATGAAAAAAGATTGTTAACAACAAATACTTTTTCACACCCAACCCAATTCTGCGGAATCAGAATCAACGTTGAGTTTAAGCAAGCGAATGAGCCAATTGGAGTAAAGTGCCATGCAGATTTAAATTTTTCCCGCTTGTGACGAATGCAGCTATCGATTTTTTTGCATGCTAGCATGCTAGTTAACATTCGTGTCAGTCAGCTGTTGGCTCTAACGCTGGCCAATAGAATCTTCTTGCTTATTCGTGGCAGCCATCTATAGGTTCTTACTCTGGCCAGTAGAAAATGGCCGAAAACTACATGAAAACTGTCGTAGAAGCATGAAAAAATCGATTATTACCACTATCGATGGGAGTTGGGAAATGCAAAGACGGTCTTGGCCTATCTCGCTAACTTGGAGCATGTGCATGTAAATTTTGGAGCAAATCCGTCGAAAATTGCGGCCGTGCATTCGTTACACACACACACACACATACACACACACACAGACACACATCCTGCCTTTTATAGATAGAGATATATACATATTTATTAACCTCGATTTATTACCCTTGAGCGAGGTTCTAAACCGGTTAGCTAGCTTGTTCTTCATTTTTTAAAATTATTATCATCTGTGGTAGTATTAAAAATACAAATTAAATTTGTCTATTTATGGTGGTTACATATATATATATATATATATATATATATATATATATATATATATATATATATATATATATATCATTATTATTATACTTTCATGGAAATTGCTCTGAGGAACTGCATTCGCTGGTTCCCAAACTTCATGAGTTCAAGCGCCCTACGAGGCTGGCATCCCGCTCTCACCCCTTCACTGTCAAAACTCCTAAATGTAGCCGTCTCTTCTACTCTAATAGCTTCATGTCTCGTACCTCTCGCCTGTGGAACTCTCTTCCCTTCTCCTGTTTCCCTGAGAGTTATAATCTCCAGCTATTCAAGTGTAATGTCAATCGACATCTCCAGTTGCCTTAATCTGTCTACTACCCTCATCCTTTCTTCTATCACTCCTATCTGATCTTCCTATTTTCCGTAACCCCTTGCGTCCTAGTGGCTCTCCGCCTTGCTTGGGGTGAAATGCTTAAAAAAAAAAAAAAAAATTTTAGCTGTTATTTTGCATTGAGCACTATTATTACCACCAGCACTTATTGTAAAATATTTTATACTTATATATATATATATATATATATATATATATATATATATATATATATATATATATATATATATATATATATATACACACACATATATATATATATATATATTATGTGATATTTTCTTTAATTGATACCCTGCTTCATCAGAGCATCTAGGCATGCGACTTAACGCTTCAAAGGCTAAAACAAAACATGTATTACTAAAATATAAAGTGATTTTTGTATTTACAAGTCACACTCCTGATCTTCTCTATTTTCGTTTCTTTTTGTAGCACAGACGTCAATCACTCGTTAGTCTGGTGTTAACAACGTTTGCTGATACACAGCTTTTTATTTCTATCGTTTTTTTGTGAGGTCTCTGTAGATATTTTTTATATTTTAATAATTTTAAAAACACTCTTAAAAAGTGATGAAATTTGTAAAGTTTTAAATTTAGGAGACACACACACGTACACATTCGCTTACTTTGAGAAGGTCGTATTAGTGCTTTCGATATACCGGATGGTTATTTAGGTGCATTGCTGTTTTTGTTTTTTTTTTTTTTAACGTGACACGTAGGCGGTGTTAGGATCTTGACACTACTGGTTGAATAAATATTCCTACATCTGTGAAATCGGTTCTGGACGGACACCTAGAATAGCCGCTTGCCTAGGTCGAGTTATTTTAAGAGTAGAAGTGAGAGACTGCAAGTGGTACAGAGTACAGATCAGATCAAATACGACTGGACGATTGTGAATTTACTGTAGGTCTATGCATGGCTCTAGCCAGACTTCCAATTACGTCAACTGCGGAGTCGACGACGCTTGGTAATGTTTAATGATGCAAGCACGCGCTACATTTAAGTGATGGTCGTTTCTATATAAGACTTAAAAGTGGGCATTAATATGGGATTTGAGTATTGTTGCCATACCTTTTGGAACCAATGTTACTGTTCGATGAATGTAAAAATTTACTATAATCATTGCAGTTACTTTTAAACTGGACTAATTTGAAACAGATATTCCGACTGCTGCAATATTATTTTCCATTAATTTGAACGTGTATATATATATATATATATATATATATATATATATATATATATGAAGGAATATATTTTTTAGGTTTGCTACATTTATGAGATAAAGTGCTCAGTATCAGAGATAGAGCGTATTTAAATATATAGATATAGATATATATATATATATATGTGTGTGTGTGTGTGTGTGTGTGTGTGTGTGTGTGTGTGTGTGTGTGAAAATATATAGCAAAGTAGGAAAGAACTCGTTAGGTAAATAATCCAAAGTTCTTTAGTATTTTTGTTATTATTCTTAAAAAACAGTGCTCGATACAAAAGCCTAAATATAATTATTTATTTAAAAATATGATTCCAACGCTACATAAGAGTTCTCATGTTTCAAAACAAGAGCCGAAAACTTCAATATAATTCCAAAAATTTCGCTTGAACAATGGAACAGAGCTTGGTACTTTAATTCAATTTAATTCAAATAATTATATTGAAGTTTTCGGCTCTTGTTTTGAAACATGAGAACTCTTATGTAGCGATGGAATCATATTTTTAAATAAATAATTATATATATATATATATATATATATATATCTGTGTGTGTGTTTGTGTGTGTGTGTGTGTGTAAGAAAACAGATATAAATAAATGTATTTCTAAAGACAATATTAATAAAAGTATTGACAAGGGGAAAACATTTTATTATATTATATATATATATATATATATATATATATATACCACGTGTAACAGAAGAATTGTCCAAATCATTTAACGGCATGGGATAATTATTCATCCCACAAAATGTTTAATATCTAAAAAATCACTAAACTGAGTTTCTTTTTTCCAGGTTTTCAGATAAGACGTTTAACAATCTTGGCACTATTTGTCGTAAGAATAACTGAAAAACCCTTTGAGTTATTCAGCTAGAAAGAGAACAGGTCAAAATCGTTTTGTGTCAGCCCCACGGTATCTTCACAACTGAACAATGGCGAGATAAAAAAAAAAATCATTGACGCCTTCAGTAATAGTTGTAGTAGAAACATTCACACACTGGTTTGATTCTTCAGAGTCCATTCAAGAACTATCAAGAGAACGGTGAATAAGTTTAAATAAGAGGAAGCAGTAGAGGAGAAAACTGGATCAGAAGGTTGTAACAGCAACAGGGATCATCAATTCAACTTAGAGTTATTGTTCAAAGTAGATTCCAACAGTGCTATAAAAACCTCAGAGAATTCCAGTAAGTTACATATATATATATATATATATATATATATATATATATATATATAAAGACAGACAGACAGGCAGGAAGGCAGGCAGACAGACAAACAGAGAGACAGACAGACAGACAGAGAATTAATACAAATATAAAGTTTGTCACTTAGTTGATTGATGTTACCTTCATCCTGACTCAAGCGTTTCTTAGATGGACTCTCCAGCAATCACTTCGTCCACTTGTCAGGGGATATCAGCAATAAAACTTTAAGAAATTCATGAATTCTTATCCTGAAGCTATTTCTTCTTACTATAAACGTTAAATATAACGTCTATAGCAGTGGGTACACATTCCTGCAAAACAGTTAAATTAATGACAACTGGCCAAGTGGCAGAAAGAAAAATTAGCCTTTCGACAGAAATCAAACCGGTATTCCATTTTTAACTTTCAAATCAGTTAACTGTACTTTACCATTAAGCCATGAGAAGCCATTGTACATCTCTCGTTGGCGCGTTTCGAAGTTTATATCTGCTAATTTTATTTTAGTAACCCAAAGTCAAATAAACAAATAAATTTTCGGAAAATGAAGCTAATATTATTTCTGGTTAAATAAAGAATACAGGTTTGATTCCTGTCGAGAAGCACATTAAGCATTAAGACTTTTCATCTCTAGGCTGGTTGACATTTATTTCAAGTCTCCTCTTCCTCTTTGAGGTGATCGTGCAGCCCTCACTGCTATACAGGAAGATAGATATCACATAACGCTCAAGCACTGCTTTAGTATTTTCTCTCTAGCTGGACTTAAAATTCACATTCATAATGCCCACGAATGAAATTGTGGGATGGTGTGATAACAGCCATGACTATATACGAATACGAGAAAGCAGGCATTACATATATATGTGTGTGCGTGTGAGAGAGATAGAAAGAAAGAAAGAAAGAAAGAGGAGTGAGATGAACAAGTGCTGAAAATTTATTCTCTCGACTCCCTTCCCAGAATCTTATCAAATGACTACAATAGATCTGCATTTGTCTACTTTTTATGTTTAATTATATATTTCCATATCTAAAATATGTGCCTATACATACACACCACAGACACATGTATGCATATATGCATATACATAACGTGCTTTCAATGAGTTTCCATATAAATTAATGGCGGTAGATCTTACGTGCCAAGAACGACACAAGTATTGTAAATGAATTTACATGAATTTATAAAGCTGCAGGTCAGCGAAAGCTCATGACATTTTTTTAATAATTGTTTGAATTTTATCTGCATCTATGTGTCGTTGATAAAGATTATTTCAAAATGTTCTTTTCTTTTGTATATATATATATATATATATATATATATATATATATATATATATATATATATTGAATTGAAATATCTCTTGCTTTCTTTTCCGCTTTTCACTTTTCTGTCTCTCTTCTTTCTTTCACTATTGATTGTCCTGGCGTGTAACTCTATACGTCCTAATTGTTTTTGTCGAGCGGGTTATATCAAATCACCCTCGATACCGTGTTGCGTCTGTTCGCTTTTGCTTTATTTATTCGGGTGTTAGTCTCATACAATATGTACATAGGGAAGGGCAAAAAAGATCGATAACGCCTCGGTGTAAGTGAATTAGATGCTGTGAAAATGAAGGATTGAGTGCTCTTTCAATGTCACACACCTCAATAGTTATGTGATCTATTGATAGGCTTCCGTTTACATGTGTATATATTTAACGTCTTTCTCCGAATCTATATGTATATGGTGTATATACAATTAAGCGAAAACAGATAGATAGATAGATAGATAGATAGATAGATAGATTAGATAGATAGATAGATTTGAACACAATAGATAGATAGATAGATAGATAGATAGATAGATAGATAGATAGATAGATCCTGAGTTTAATCAGGATGAACTGCTGCTCTCTCAATGAGGCCATGTTTTAAACGTCTGTAGCATCGTAATTTCCCTCCAAATTTTATGCGGAATTCATATACACACACACATATATATATATATATATATATATATATATATATATATATATATATATATATATATATAGATAATATTATTGGAAAATATACATACATATGAAAATATATCTAAAAAATTCCCATACATGTATATTTTCAGAAAAAATTTTCCAAGAGGAAGGATCCAGGTAGAACTCAATGTCTAGGACAGAGTAAGGATATAATAAAAGAAACAAACACTAATATTCCATGGTCATAATTTATTCCATTGGAATCGTAAATACGATCAAATCATCAGACCTCTTTTAAATTCAAAATGAAAACAGAAAAAAAACAACTCCGAAGAAATCAAAACAGGATGAGTTACATTTAGAAAATTGTGTTGATTTATTTTGTTTTTTTTCTGTTTTCATTTTGAATTTTTAGGTCTGATGATTTGATCGTATTTACGATTCCAATGGAATAAATTATGACCATGGAATATTAGTGTTTAAGTTTTTATATATATATATATATATATATATATATATATATATATTTGTGTGTGTGCGTCTGTGTGTGTGTGTGTGGTGCGATTGAAAAATTGTCGCCATTTTATATTTTTAATTTCGCACATGAGCGTTGATTGTTTTTTTATTTTGTCGACTGCGCTGTATATTAGGCTCAGTTGGGCACCGTCTGTGAGAAAAAAAATCACGATGACGAAATTCATTCCGCAAGAAATTTGGAAAAAGCATTCTCTACTGCTTGGCATTCGCACCGGAGCCTACAACATGAACATTTCAGAGTTTTTGCGTATCAATCTGAGTACTGTGAAGAAGATTCGAAAAGAATTGACTGAGTCTAAAGATGATTACGAAGGTGTTTGGAGTGATCACTAAAGATGGCAACGTTCTGTCACCATTCCTTTTCCCACAGGGCCTCAGACTCAACACTTAAGCCTACATCAAGTACCTTGGGAAGGTAGTGATGTACTAGATCAAGAAGGTAGCTGCTGGAAGACCCTATGTCTGCCAACATGACACTGAGCCATGCCACACAAGCAGGAGAACGCAATCATGACTGTCAGACAATTTCTACGACCACATCACCCCTTACATCTTGCCAACTAATTCCTCAGACTGCAACCCCTTAATTATTATGTGTGGGGCGCAGTTCGGCAAGCCATCAAGCCATCTTCTACAAAGCAACAGTTCTAGGGGGAAAGCCGTGTGACTAGAGACCAACAGAAGTCCTTGTAACACCAAAGATGAACTGAATGCAAGGATTATGGCATCATTTACCAACTTAAACAAGGCGACCGCCCAGAAGAGATGCAGGAGATTCCGAAGTCGTCTGGAGACCATGGATGAATCCAATGGCGATTTTAGGGAATAAATTTACTCTTTAGTATTTCAAAATAACTAATGTGTATTTTGGTAAATATATCTTTTTAAATGAGATGCCAATGTTATTTTTATTTTTGCGTAATTTAGACGACAATTTATCCCTCGCACCACACACACACACACACACACACACACACACACATATATATATATATATATATATATATATATATATATATATGAACAATCCATTTTCCACGCTTTATATTTACAATTATCATATTAGACCAAAATAATTATTGCTCTCTCTATTACCATAGAGCAGATAGGTTTAATAGGTGTAGATAGGTTTGCCTATGAGCCGGTTCATATACCTCCTGCTCTTTTAAACAGAAATAGGGCTTATCTCTTGTTTCCTTCTTACGATTAGATTTCCGGTTCTTTCTATAATCTACTTCAACTCTATACTTCTAACATCTCCACTTAAACTCTGAAATTTTACTTACTATTTTTTCTCTATAAGAATAGATAGGTGCACCTATCTTCTGGTTCACACTTCTCACCAGTTTTTTGAATAAGAGTAAAGGTTTATCCATTGATTCCTGTTTAGGATTGAGTTTCTGATTCCTTCTAAAGTCATTTTCATTTTCTTTCACTCCCTGTAGTCCCTTGCATCTTAGTAGCATTGCCTTGTTTGGGTGGATTAAAAGAAAAGCATCTCAGATATGCTCCATCCTTTAGTTCCACTAATTCAGAACTCTACTGGTAGAAGATGCTCTGTTACTTTCAAATCATCCTCATTTTTTTCCAAATGTAAGGAAAAAGTTACACTCAGTTTTTCCTCTAGTGCCGCTACTTTGCGATGGATGCTTCCCTAAACACCACAATCTCAACCTCTTCAAGTCAAGAGACAATCATTATCTCTCCTACATATCCTCAGAATCTTAACTTCCTGCCACCTTTTTTATCACATCTCATAACGATTTTAACAGAATCTCTCTACTTTGAACCAGTCTCGTGTCTTGTATTGGATGAACTTTAGTTTAAAAACATCTGAAAGTTCGCAGTATATGGGTATGTATGTATGATTATATATATAGTAAAGTTACTTAGATTAGGGACATGTTGCCACTAGCTTTAAAATAATTGTGCCCTACATTAAAAATACAGTATAACATGTGTGGCTGATGGCTCATGTCCTAACTTGCTAGGCTAGCTAGCTAATCACTGTTTCAGACACATGAAAAAACATGTCTTTCTTTAGCACCCACAGAGCCAGAATACAACTAGGCTAATCGGGTCATAGTTACGTTTTCTGGATGATGGTATATAATCAACTGAAATTTCTCGGACATATAACGAGGACAGAAGACCTAGCGAATTTAACACTGACAGGACATATTGAAGAAAAAATAAAAATGAGGACATAGTGAGTAACTGTTAACGAGTTTGTACGAATAGATGATAGAATAAGAACACTACAAAACGTATCGTGTTCTCCATGCTGTGGGTGATCATGGCTCACCACAACTTCCTATCCTTTGTAGCTTTAAATAATGTTTGTCTCCTTACTATGTCTCCCAACCCATGTTCTACAATCCATTGGCATAGGCTTCTTAGGTAAATTACACAGGCCGCTTTTCTTATTGTGTGTACTAAAAATTTCAGCTACGTCTTTCTGATTCTATGTGGCAGATTTATGTTTGTTTCTATTTTCCATTTAAAGTTTCGGTGATCCGTGCCGGCCGACGTCCTGAAGGGCCATGACAAAAAAGAATAAAAGAAAAACATTTGGGTGTAGGTCTAAATATTTAATCAGTATCTAGTCGTGAAGGCAATGAGTAGGGTACATAACGAAAGAAGAGAACATGGAAAATTTGATATTCACATGATATATTGAAGCCAAGATGGACAGATGAATGCAGTGCATAACCTAACTAAAGAGATTGTGTGAACGGTTGTCAAAAGAAGGATTAGGATCTACAGCCAAGAAGAAAAATATGCTGAGAGCTACAAGGATCACGCAGTTGTAGAGAACTATGAGAACATGACACATAAAAGAAGAAGAGCTGATGTATGATTCGCCATCGAACTTAAGGTTTGCAATAGTGATCTAAATTAAAATGGACTAAAAACACTTGTCGGCTATCATTTTTAGTCCTGTGAACATTGAATACCATCCATCCTGCATTAGAATAAACACAGAGGAGAGAGTGTCATAATGTGGAGTTATTTGTATCGAAATGTTGTCGATCCGATTGAAGAGAATTATGGGAAAAATTATTATGCAATCATACGCCTCAGGTTTGAGCACTTCGAAGTGGTGTAATGGCTAACAAGCTTGTCTCGTTAAATCATTTACGACTGAATAGTGAGTTCGATTCCCACTGGGTGTTTCATACTTTCGGCTTTGTGCCACACCTAAACTACACTTAGAAAATCGCCATTAGCCTCAGGTTATATCGGCTTGATGTCGGGGTTTTCGATTCTTCTGCTTATAAAATGTGAAATGACCTGAGCATTGCGATAAAAAATCAAATTATAAAACGAAGGATAGACAAGATATTTGATTATTTACAGCCTGTAAGCAACAATGAAGTTTTATGGAAGATAGATTGATTGGTTTATTTGTTTTTACGGTCTATCAATCTTTTAAAGGCTATTCAAAGCTGAAATCTATTTTGGGATTGTATGAAATATTGTAACCCATAGCTGGAAATATAAGAGTTGGATTCATAAATTCCCTAAAGGTATTTACACATATGTGAATGTAACGAACCCGACAGGAATTCGATCTCAGCTCTCCGATTTCTCGTTCTGAGTTGTTATCCATTAAACCACCCGCACCTACAAGATTACAGCACCTGATATTCCGGAACAAACACCCATCTAAGTACCGACCAGGCTCAACCTTGCTTAACTTTGTTGACCGGATGTGAACCAATATTTCAACGCGATATGGCCGTAAGCCAATGAAAGATGGAAACGAAAAAGAAAATTATGAATAAAATCAGAAAGAGACAATTGAAATTGGACACATAATAAGAAAAAAATGAAGATTTGACACAAGACATATTGAAGGCAAGAGGAACACATTGAAAACAGTGAGTAACCTAAATCCGCGTATCCAAACAAATGTCAGGGAATGGCAGGGACAATAAAAATACAAACGTTCTCAAAAGATACGAAGAATAGAAAGATGTGGAGAGACATAACCACCCACGTCATGAAGAGGTACGGGACATAGAACAACAAGACATCGTTCGAAGTTTAAATGTACAAATTTCAAGCAGTGAATTCCTTCCACCCGCAATAGATTAGAAAATCCAGAGACAACCATTATGACAAATTTTATCTTATAAAGTATATTTATAAGTTATATTTATGTATTACTGATAAGTTCAAATGGAGTTGGCAATTATAGAATTGTTTTTTAGAGAAATCTAACAAATAAATTCAACTAAATTAAGACATTTATTACTTAATTTCAAAGCCTGTTACTCTTGAAAGCGTTGGAGAGAAGGAATTAAAGAAAAAAAAGCAAAGTCATGATTTTTAATCTAAGTCGTTCGTGAGTTACCACAAATTTAAATTCCCATCTAGAAAAATGTCTATACTGTTGCGAGAGTCACCACTTCTGCGGAGAAAATGGAAGGGCCTTATTTTGTCCCGAAAACAATATTTGGCGGACTTATGTATGCCCGAGTAAAAATAAGTAACAAAACATGGATTTCAAACAATGCATGTTTTAACAACAGTGAGAAATTATATTAATGTGTACACAGTCTAAAAGAAATAAAAGGCATTAAAAAATTAGCTATTAACTATTAAGAATTGTGCATGTATGTGTGCCATACACATGTGTTTGTGTGTGTATGTGTATATGAATGTATGTGTGTATATATATATATATATATATATATATATATATATATATATATATATATATATATATATATATATATATATAGGGGTGTACCTGTTCTGTCGTCATTCAGTCGGAGAAAAGAATATTCCCAGCGGAGACTCCTTCATGCTACTACATCTAGAAAGGAAATGTTTGTCTTTTATAGAACTTAAACAGCGTCGTCTAATGGGCGTTTAGCCAAGCTAAGTGAGGTAAACTACTATACCGTGTTAAAGAACTCTACCATTACGAGTAGGATCCAGAAATTTTAGAAATTCATACTCACAGCTTTTATTAAATATGGCAGACATGGAAGATTTAATTAAGTTTTATTATTATCATTATTATTATTATTATTTCGTTTTTCCAGCATTATTGCGTTTTTCCGTTTGGACAATTAAAATTAAGGAAATTTTTTCTTCTCCCTTACTACTACCAAACGAATAAACTTAAAGGATGCTGGAAAAATAAATAAAAAAATCATTAAATCTTCCTTGTCTGCCATATATACATATATATATATATATATATATATAGGGCAGACAAGGAAAATTTAATCTTGATGTTAAATTCGTTAAGGAAGGCGCCGTAGTTTTTTCATTTCTTCTATTTTCCCAAGTACTTTCAATCTCATCCAAGATCATTTTTCGGGGTGAATTGCTAAGACAAAAAAATTTAAATAATTAAATTTTTGCATGATTTCTTTTTAATTTTTAATATCAACATTAAGAAGTTGAACTAATGAATTCGAGAGGATAAAAATAAAATAGATAGATATATGTCCAGATTATTCAACCAAACATGAGTGAATGAAAATATGCTGCTGATATATATATATATATATATATATATATGTGTGTGTGTGTGTGTGTGTGTGTGTGTGTGTGTGTGTGTGTGTGTGTGTGTGTGTGTGTGTGTGTGTGTAAAGTGTAGAAAGATAGAGAGAGGACTGTGGCTTCACCTGGTATTTCCGAGTTTTAAGAACCCATTACCAGTATAACGCCGACGTCTAAGCCTTTGCCTAAAATTGATTTCAAAATATCAATTTATATACATTATAATTCTATAGATATTATTGCACCAATTACCTGAAATTTCCTTTGATTAAATCTTGAAGAATCACGTTGTTACCTTTAGGAAAGATGTGGTCATCTAAAACCAGCTTTTATATTATCATCCGAGGACAGTATGTTAATATCATGAGGAGACATATGTTGGCCGACAAATCTTTGAAATTCTCCAAACAATTACAAAGATTTCATTGTTATTAATGATTCATGCACGTATAAATAAAACGGGAAAGTAAATTAGATTTCAGCTTTCCATTTTAAAAAGTATTCTGTTATTTCTCAAAAGTTTATGAAGAGAAACATTGCTTGGTAAGGTGTTTCTTTTTTTATTGTTCGTGTTGTATTGTTTCGTAGGTGTTTTAAGGACACCATGACATTTATACATTAAAGGTTTTCTTAAATTAAGCCCCAGGTCCAGAACTGCTGTAATAATTTTTAGAATATTATTCTTGTTTTCGTTGTATTGTATTTTACGTTATGATTTTTTTGTAATTCACTAAGTCGCTTTCTTTTGGCAGTTTCAGTTTTGATGATTCAAAATTTTATTACAGAAAGGAGAAGAAAAAAAAACATGAGTAAATTTTAAAGGTTAAATCGTAGCTAAGAGATGTAAAATTTCATTGTTATCCCCGTTCTTTTCTTTTTATTGTTATTTACTCAGTTTGAAAAATAAGAAGAAATTCTAAAGGAAATAACAATGAAGAATCTAGAATATAAAAACGCGAAGAGTGAGGAAAAATAATAAGTTAAAAATGTAGCTGTACAAGGAAGGAAGAAAGGAAGGAAGGTGAGAAGGAAGGAAGGAACGAACGAACGAACGAACGAACGAAGGATGAAGGAAGGAGAAAAGGAAGGAAGGAGAGAAGGAAGGAAGGAAGGAAGGAAGGAAGGAAGGAAGGAAGGAAGGAAGGAAGGAAGGAAGGAAGGAGAGAAGGAAGGAACGAACGAACGAACGAAGGATGAAGGAAGGAGAGAAGGAAGGAAGGAGAGAAGGAAGGAAGGAAGGAAGGAAGGAAGGAAGGAAAAGAAGGAAGGAAGGAAGGAAGGAAGGAAGGAAGGAAGGAAGGAAGGAAGGAAGGAAGGAAGGAAGGAAGGAACGAAGTAAGGAACGAAGGATGAAGGAAGGAGAGAAGGAAGGAAGGAGAGAAAGAAGGAAGGAGAGAAGGAAGGAAGGCGAGAAGGAAGGAAAGAAGGAAGGAAGGAAGGCGAGAAGGAAGGAAGGAAGGAAGGAAGGAAGGAAGGAAGGAAGGAAGGAAGGAAGGAAGGAAGGAAGGAAGGAAGGAAGGAAGGAGAGAACAAAGAAAATAGTAGGAAGCTAAAGAAGATTAAGAAATGAAAGCAGGGCGAATGTGAGGAGAAAGAGGTAAAGAAAGATGGAAAATATGGCGAAAGTAAAGGTACTGAAGAAAAGGAAGAAATAAAGAAAACCAGTTAAAAAGAATGGGAACAAGTAAAGAAAAAAATGAAGAACGAGACATAAGTATGAAGAGAGAAAATAATAAAAGAGAAATAGCAGGATGAAAAAGAAGAAAAATTGCTGAACAAAAGGGAGGAAAAAAAGAAGAACGTATAGAAATAAGGAAGACGGAATTGAATGAAAACAGACGGAAGGAATAAAGGGGAAATAGAAAGGAAGAAAGAATATAGACAAAAAGAAGGAAAGAAAGCATTAGAGCATTTAAGACGAACAATGTGAAGAAATCCTTAAATGGCAGGAAGAAATATGACTGATTAAGAAAGTTGGGATAGATAAAAGAAGGGCTTAAATAAACGGGGAGATACAGAAGCGAAGTGGGGTGCATGAATAGAAACAAAATAAAAAAATATCTGGCTGGAAAATACGAAATAAGAAAAAAAGGGATACAAACAAAAATTTCATAAAAAGACGAAAGGATAAAAGGGGAGAGCAGAAACAAAAGTAGATTATAGACAGGACGGAAGGGTGAAATAAATAAAAAAAACGAAGACAATATGGCGGAATTAAAGTTTCTGAAAAATGCATAAACAATGAAGCGTTAAAGAAAATTTTAACTTCGTCACAAAGATTCAATTTTTTTTTAAATTACAAGCAAGAAGTGATCAATAACGCATTAAATAAAATCAAGAATACACTTGAAAATTATTCAATTTATACAAATAAAATATCAGATTTCAGTACAGCAGTTTTTAGGATGTTAGCAGATCGATTTACATAACATTAAACTCGGAAAATATATCGTCAGATAAAAAAAAATGGATATAGTGCATAAAAGAGATTATATTTTTATTTTTTGAATACTTGAGTTAAAACACCGGGTCAGGTAGTGCAGAAATTGGAATGGCTGAATGGCACGTTAAAAAAGAACTGACAGTTAAGATTTTCTGAAAGTCCCTAAGAAAACCACCCGACGTGACGAATACTGGAATGACAATGACATGTACTCTGTAGGTAAAGTTGTCCTAGATATGACGATAAACTACATTCGGCAGCAAGGCCTCTAATCGGGTGACTGGCGGTTTTGATGAGCGTGGCACCACTTCGTAACAGCTCGTTCCCAGGTCCACCCTAGCTTGGGGTGGTAGTACCTGTTCGGGTCCCACCTATGGGCAAATAGTGAACCACCAAACAAATATCAATAGTATATTTTTATAATAAAATTAGCAATAAAACGTTTTATAGAAAAATGACAATCAATGCAAAACTAGGAAAAATATAAGAATACATTTTTATAGTAAAATTGCCAACGGTAAATTTTATGATCTATAAACTATATATCTAAAAAAATACATCCCCTTACCCTGAAAGTATAAAATTATGTGCAAAATATCTGTAGTTACAAGCATAAAAATTACGTACAAAATATTTAGAATTCGGCATTAACTAAACAATAGAGTTTGATATGCGGCTAAATAAAATCAACCAACCGAAGATAAAGGAAATGATTGCTTTCGATATTCCTGGAAGGCAACCGATTATCACAGATGAGTGAAGAAATAGAGAAATTACCACGATCGTGCGTTGAAACTGACAAAACAATTAGTTTGAAATAATCTTACGGTCAAATCACGCTGAAACACCGGTTCTCGTACGAAGTTAAGCAGCGTAGAGCCAGGTCAGTACTTAGATGGGGGACCGCTTGGGAACACCTGGTACTGTGAGCCCCCAAAGTCCAACCCTTACCTCACAGTCGGTGGGGGGTGTAAACGGTAGTGTCAGAGCTATGCCGCCCGGAATTTCGTTCCTGGTAGGGCCACCCAAGGCGGACAGGTCTGACACACACGCCGGCTAACAAGGGCTCGGGTGAAAATCCAAGGAGCGTCTGCATCGGTAACCGGCGGCTTCTGGTCGTTCCTGTCTCTGCGTCTGTGGGAACCCCGCGGCAAGCAAGAACGTTATCCGAGTAGGCCTGGGTACCCTACTTCTGTAATTTATCCCAAGAATCTTCTTCTCATAACAGGAAGAAGCCGGCTCAATCCGCCCAGGGTGAATGCCGCATCAGTACAGTACAGTACTCTTCGTATAATTGTAACAAAATTAGTCGTTTGTAAGTCAAAAATAAATTTTCGTTGAGATACGAACATGCACACCTCGTAATGACTGTTGATAGGATATCTGCAGACCTAACCACATGACTATTCGCTTTTTTCTCAGCTACTTATTTTGTTTCCATCTTTTTTCTTATTTACACATAATAGTAATATCATTTTAATACCATGTCCTATATGTGATTACAGCTCTCCACATTTTCTTTTTCTTCATTATCTGTGAACTGTCCTGTATTTTTAGGAGAAACAGTGTATGGGTTCTCTATTGCGTTGTCCATGGTTCAGAATTCAGAAGTGTTCCTTGTCATAGACAGCTTTTTACTTAATCTACCATAGCTGGAGGGGGAGAAAAACGGATTCACGCTTTTCCCAAGAACATTAGCGCGAAAGTGAACGCAACAGCTAACCTGGAATTTAAACTGTGCTTTTCGATTCCACTTTACTTCATTCTCCTGCCACCACATCAGCAGTAGTACTAGCAAATATACTCTTTCATTTTGTTTTAGGTTGTTCGTTGTCGCAATTCTCAAACCATGATATTACGGTCGTTAGAAAATAATGATATTTTATTCGAAAAATCAATAAATGACAATACATCAAGTAAGCCCCAAGAAAAAAAAACAAGATAATCTTAAAATTTCTCTAGTGTGTGGTGGGGGAGACTAGCCATGATTAATACATAATACAGTTTGAATTACTTACATTCTTTCTTATTCTCACCACTTGAAGGCGCCACAGTTTTAAAAGAAAAGTTACCGCCATTTTTCTCCTAAGGTCAAGTCACGACTGATATAAACATGAAATGTTTTGCTTGAAAAATGTTTTCGTGCTGCTAAGTAACATTTTTACAATGACAAATGTGTAATGTGTGGTTAATGATAGCGTAGTTTATGATTATGAGAAGCTGAGAAGTGTCAATAAACAGTATGTGTGTGTGTGTGTGTGTGTGTGTGTGTGTGTGTGTGTGTGTGTGTGTGTGTACATCTGTGTGTATATGTCGTGTGTAGGCAGCCATTTATCTCGCGAGATAATGGTATTATATATATATATATATATATATATATATATATATATATATATATATATATATAAAACACCTTCTGTCAAAACTTTTTCTTGGAACAATGTAAACAAGACTGTGTTTAAGGTTGATTGGTATATTGAAAGTAGGGCTACTTAGTACACTATCTCTCTGATTGTACCAACTTACGCCAATAAAAATAATTCTATTAATGTAATATACAAACTAAAATGTACCTCTTATAGGTCAAAACTAGTGATGAAGTAGTTGGCTTTATACTTATGTTCATTGACAAGTATTTGCCTATTGTTTGTTTTAAAAGATCCTCTTATTTTCACTGTTATAAAAGCACATAATTTTACTGACAATAATGAAAAAACGCATTGAGCTTGGTATATTGAGCAACTTTTTTTCTGTTTTTAGACAAAACGTAGCTTTCTAACACGAGTAAATTTTTTCATCATTACAGTTGTGTCGACTTGAAGGTACACTCCAAATTCGTGTAATCACTCATCTTCATCATAACTGGTCGTTTCCAAACATACCCATCTGATCAAGCATTCTTGTGTTTTTGCAACACCTACTGGTCTAAACTATGGTTTATATTGCAACTATACTGCGCCGACTTCAGTTACAGTTCTAGTATATGCCCCACCAGGATTTGAATTCACAGTTGTCCTTTTCATATACTGATTACCAATCACTGTTAGAAAGTCTCGTCTACTCTGATATTTGATCCGTAGATGGACGGGAAGAAGAAAGAGAATCCTACCTGACCCACTTAAGTGAAAATGAATGTAAAAATCTTGAATTGAATACGAACTCAGCTAACCAATTTCTCGTTACGAACCTCTAAAAACTTTCACGTCCAAGACGTTTTATGGTAATAGAAATGGTAATGGTAATATCAGCCGTGTTTCCTTACGAGGAAACACTTGGCATTTAATGGTCGAACAGACAGTACTACTGACAGTTAAAATTTATAAATTCCTTCTCTTAAAAACGTTTTTTTCAAGAAAATAGGTATCTCAAGTCCAGTAGTTGTTATCGCTATTTATATTATTGATGGTGATTTCGTTCCTTACATTTTGTTTCAAATATTGTAGAAGGTTAACATCTTGGTTTTGTCATAATTTTCTCTTAGATTTATATGTGCTATCCATTTTAGTTGTTGCCGCTTTTGGTAATCCTCAAGCGATGTTGTTTTTATTATTCTGTACAGTTCTTGGTTTGTAATTCTGTAGCATCAGTCCACAATGTTCAAAGAAAATTGGTTTTCTCCAAGACCCACAGGCTTCACGCGTTCGTTTAACCATTCATCTTAGAAAGTGTTTGTATGTAGCTGGCAGTTTAGATATTTCTGAATAGGGTTTTATGCCATGTATGTTATTCATAGGAAAGTTTCGATCTGACAAATCTAAACGGCGTAGAATGTAACTCGATTTTTCAGGTTAATGTTTTGGCATTGTAGCAATTTTCGGTGTTGGGTGAAATAATCGCTAGCGCATTCTATTCTGTGTACAATTTACTTTTCTCTGACACTAAATTTATTACGGTTTTCAAATAATCATAGTTTCAATGTGATTACGATGACTCATGCACATATTACATCAGAATAAAGTAAACCTCTTCTGAAGTACGTTTCACTCGGAGAAAGCATACAAATGGCGCTTATAACAGACTTATAATTTTTCGTCATCCCAGAACATATGATACAATTTTGCATTTTTCTTTTTACTCCCTTTCACCTAATAGAAGATGCAACAGCCACCCAAGGTAGGGAGTTATTGAATTAGGTTGTTGACAGTGGATTACAGTTGGCCGACAATTTGAAGAGGTTAAGTTTGTAATCATCGGGGAAGAATCGGGTGGTCTGTTCAACAAAGTAGCTGAATCAAGCATCCTTCATATGAATCGAATTCGAAGGAAAATGAGAATGATTTGACCCAGAATAAGTGTTATGGCGCGCCTTATATGTAAAGGTCTGAACTGGTGGAACTAAAGAATGTTCTTAATTCTTCAGTATATTTGTCATGGAAATAACGATAGAGTAGTGGATGTACGGTATAAACTAATTCATCAGCCATGAGCTCAATTAGAACCTTCTGAACTCAAGGCTGAAAAGGGAGGATTGAGCAGTGTAGCCCAGCTACGGCAACAATATTTCATTTTTGGTTTGATCTTACTCTTGAAAAGATAGAGAATTGCAAAAGAAGTTACGTGTTTTAAGGAGCAGCACAAGGAATCCTTTTGTCC